AACCAGTATTTTCGCCCCTTCCCAAAATTACTTCAACAGAAGGTTTCCAGATGGATATGCGGAGCAAATCCATCTGGCGGAGTCAGGTTGAGGAGAAACATCTTCAAACTTGGAAACAAAGTCAAGTGGATTGTTTTTATCTTATTTTTTTGGAATGACTATGACCTGGATGACTAGGAATCTTCACCAGGAGAAGGAAGCAGTTTGACTGCAGAATATTTCCCTTTCCCTGCAACCTAAACTAAACAGACATCCTTAAACAGGGAGTAATAATTTAAAGACAAACAAACACAACATCACCTCTAGAAGATGGTTTCTCTTAGCGCTCAACCAACATCTATCAGCGCCTGTCTGCAGACTCCTGAAAGTCCTTCAGACCAACGGCAGCCATGATGAAACATGACCGAGTAACACTTGTTGCTGCAGCCTCTGTTCAAACAAACAGGCCGCAATGTCGAACTAAATATGCGAGAAGCTACATGTCGTAATATACAAAAGCATTCTTCTCAGACTAAAGCATTCAGTCATAACAGTGTGCTGCAAACAAAGCAAACAGAAAAACATTTAAGGAAATTAAACCATCAAGTGTCAGAAGCCTGGACTAAAGCCTACCAGGGAACACCAGAGATATTAAACAAGCTAGCTTACTTACACTGAGATTTACCTTCATTTAGACCTCAACAGCTGAGATCTGACCAAAAACTTCCTTTTACTCACTTTATAACCAACAGTGTGCGAAAAAACAGGATCAATAAAGTTAAGAAAAAAGGTTGTTTTGAATAGAATACCTGAGAAACATTAAAATGGAGCCTCTTTAGAAACTTTTCTCAAAAAGCATATCATTTTGAATCATACTGAAACCTAAAAATTAGCCTCCCTCCATGGCTACCATATTCAAATTCAATATAAAGTAAATCGTGTCTATAGTTTCCATAACTTCTGCTGAGCATCTTAATACCAGTTTGGGTGTTTTTATGGATGTTTTCACTGTGAGTTAAGATTCTTCAGACGTCTATCATGTTGGGTTTCAAGATGGCCGTCATCATCAAAGGAAAACAGCAGGACTATTGTGGATATTTAGCTAACACTCTTAGACTTTATCAGGAAGCCGCTGAGGAACAAGAAGTTTTCCTGATTTCTTAAACTTTGTCGGATTTAACAGTTTATAGTGTCCTGATTCCATACATGAGACCTAAAACTGGAGAAGAATTGCCTTTGTTTTGATGACTAAGACTTGGACTGTTTCTAAATTCACAAGAACTCGAGTACGGACTCGTGTCCTCGCCAAGTACGTTCTTGAGAAGAACACAGGAAAGTCTGGACTCTGGGAGAACGGGAGAAGGCCGCATGAATCTGGGTCAATTTGAACAGAACCGTACTGGTGACATCACCACATTCAAAGCTTGTCTAAAGCTAACGCCAGGGCTAACGTTAGCCCTGGCTGCGGTTAGCCTCGGAGGTCCGCTGGTTCCCACGGTGCTCTCAACGTCGGAACCTTTTTTTTTTTTTTTTTTTTAAATGACGCACTAAATCAGTAAATTGACCATAAAGTGAAGCTTGACAGTATAATGTTCTCGCCTCAAATGATCTAAAAACGCACTTTTATAGAACAACAGAGAAGAGAACTTTTAACTTAATACACTGAGGTCTGTGATTGCTAACCTGGCTTAGTTAATAGTGGGTAGCAGTTGTCAGTGGGGCAGCTATCAATCTCAAGAACTGACAAGTCTGCTCTGATGCATGCTGGGTAAAGATGGAGCGGCGAGAACAACATCCGGGGACTGTCCGTTCTCGACACTCTTGTTCTTGTGAATTTAAAAGCACTAGGGCTGAGGCTGATGACGTTTCACGAGCATTTGAGAACGCACAAGTACACATATTGAGAAACGGCCTTGGCATTCCAAACAAAGGCAGCCATCTTGAAATCAACATGGCAGGCTTCTGATGTAACCTTTGCCAGTTTCAGCATGTTTGCTAACATCTACAGCAAACACGAAATATCAAATGACTACATCTCAGGTAGATGCTTTGAAGTCTTACAAAGACTTAAAGAAACCAATCTAACTTCCTAGAAATTTGCTTTCCAGATAGTCCAATCTAAAGTCCAAGCACAACAGGAAGTTCTTCTTCAGTGGTCCTTCTCTGATTTTTATAATTTTTTACCTGAACTGAATAAAGAATGGAAAAAGGTGGCCATCTTGAAACACAACAAATGGGACGCTTGCTGTCACTGTTGTTCATAATCTCTTGCTCAAAGCCAATATAGTAAGGGCAGTTTTTAACCAGTTTTATGCAGTTCAATGAAACGTTCCTCCATGAGGAATCTAGGAGTCCATCAGTCTTTATAAAAGAGTTCCTCCCGCTCTGCAAGATCCAACCTTTCCTCACAAGGTCTGTGTTCTAAAGGGCTGTATCTATCAAAAATAAAAACACATTTTGGCCATTTTGAAATCAAAATTAGTGGTAAACCAATGAGCATGGTGGCAACAATTTCTTTGACAATTAAGATCAACTTTACAACTTCATCCATATTTGATCAGCTACACGGATTATAATCAAACAATACTTGGTGGCCATTTTTCAGTCATGAACACGGACGTTTTAAGCCGGGCATACACTGCACGATTGTTTGCCCAATTCGGGCCAATTCTCCAGTCGTGCACAAATTTTTCAATCAGGCTGACAATCAGCTTGAGCGTCGGGTCGCACGGCGGAGAACATTATAAGCGGTGAACTTTTAAACCCTGCGGGTTTGAGCTGTAGCTGCGTGCGATTGAAAATAATCGCAGTGTAAATGCCCGGCTTTAGAGATTTGTGTCCACCAGCAAGTCTTTTTCTTCTGCAAAAATAAATATGACTTGATGAGGCTCCACTGGTTTTGCCCATTGATGACTGGATTTTTATCAAGTCCTATGAGGCTTCAAGAGATCTTTGCAATATGCTAAAAATATAGCTGAAGATTGATGTAAATTTAGTTAATCAGATAATAGAATTTGGTTTTTGAAGGATTCAGGCTCCAAATATGTGCAAAGCATTTCAACCACTGGACTAAAACAGGAGGTTCTATTAAACAAACAGCCAACTAACAATAACAGATTTCTACTTTTTAAGGAACTCTGTGTTTGCCAAACTGTTTTTTTTCTGTCAAAAGAGCGCCGTCTTTAGCTAAAGAGCCTCTTGACTGAGTTCTGCAATAAGAACCTAAACATATATTCTGCTTGTAGGTTTTGCACAGTGTTGCAGATTCATCTTTATTTGGTTTCCTTCTATCAGGATTGTTTATAACCAGAACCAACTGATAGAGAGTGCAAATGAATGGGTTAACAGAGCTGTTCTTCAGCTGTCGTTGAGCTAAAGCTCGGGTCTTATCTGCCTATCAGAAGATAAAAGCAACAGTTGATTCAACCACTTAATTCCTCTGCAGTTTGATCCCAGATATTCAGGGCAGAGGCGACGTAAACAGTGTCTGTTGGCGTTTTTGCTTGCAGACTGATCACTCCAGGCCGAAGCCTTCGGCGTTGGAGATGGCGATGGTGAGTTTGTGTTTCAGCTCTTTCCGGGTTCGATACGGAGGCAGACAGATCTGGTTGAAGCAGGTGTGAGAGATCGGCAGCCTGAGTGGACACAAAAGAAGAAATCTAATGTTAACGAGCAACATCTCATCACGTCAAATGGTTGGAAACCCTGAAGAGAATAAAGACTAACTGATGTTGAATCATACAAAAGTAAAATAATAGAGCTGATGAGGAGAATATACAAAGACCCTGGGATAGGTGTAAAGGCTTCTGTAGAAGAACTGATTGACAGTACAGTCGCCTCCAATGGAAGCCTGATTATGGAGGCCATACCCTGGACGCCTGAAGCTGCTGGAGCAGAAGTTTCCCTCCAGTCAATAGACAGTTTTGCAGTTTCGTCGCAAAACCCCAATTGGGGCTGTTACCTTTGGTTCTTGGGTTTGGTATGAGGAAGTGGTTCAGACAGGCCAAAGAGCAGCTCTGCAGGGGAGCTGCAGCTGATGGCAGCAATTATAGTCAATCAGAGCGGTTTTACTGGGAATGCTGTGGGATGGTCCTGAAGCTTCCCAGACACGCTGGCCAACCAATGCAGTGGATGGATGGATGGATGAATGTTAGATGGATGCTAAAAATGTTCTTGAATTGAGAGACTGTAGGTCAACAATCTTTCTCCTGAAACAATGTAACTACATGCTGTTTTCTGACCTGCTCCACTAATGTAAAAGAAATTTCCTCACTTTAACCTTTTCCCCAGATTGATCCATTGATTGGACCGGCAGCGTGAATGTGGCCTTAATCCCTTCTGGCCTGTTTATGCCTCAGCGTAGCTAGAGAGGAGGGAAACATCCTGAAGAGATGTCTGGTTTGCCATCTTCCAGCTCCCTCTGAGACCAAGGCTTAAATAAGCAGACCAGAATAGCTCAACGTTTGAGATTTAAAGATGAACCCTAACCTAACCCAAGCAACCCGAATCCAAACTATTTAGCAGTCAAAGCAACCCAGAGCAAACTAAAGATGTAGATTAGAAAGGCTTAGGAGGGAAAAGAACAGGAAAAGGCTGAAAATCCAAGGAACCATGAAGGAGGCATGTTAATGAAGATCAGCAGATTCATGGCAGCATATTCTGGCTAATGGGCTCGCTCTGTTTTTCTATACCTCTGAGACAAAGACCTTCAGTCTGTAAACAAATCTACACTAGACCCTCCCCCCACCCAACTACTGGGTATAAGTTCTGTGGTAGCTAAGCTGATAAATGCATCAGGTTCATGAGAGCAGGTGGATGGCTTTTAAATTTAACAAAAATGAACCAAACAGTTGTTAGATTAAAGGTTGATATACGACTTAAATGATGTTCTAAGATAGCGCATGTTTGAAGAAATGAAAGCACAGGAAATTAGCAGGAACTAACAAGTGTTTGACACGGTGGTGGAGGGCTGATGATCTGGGCTTGGTTTATGGCTACAGGACCTAAACGTAAAAATAAATAAATGTGTTCCTGCTTTAGGCAACAACAATAAGAGGGAAAGAGTTTCAGGAGGGTTTGATAGTGAGGATGAGGAAGGCTTAGGAGGAAAACATCACGGGATGTGGAGGCAGGGGGGTGAGTGGGTCCAAGGCCGCCCACTTTGGACTTGAACTCAGTGAACGTAGTTTTCTTTACATTTGACACAATGGCCTCGGCCCATCCCCCCTCCGCTTCCCAAACACAGCCCACTCCACTGGCCTCCATTCTGGGATCCTGTTATCTGGGAGCCCCCTGAGAGCCTGGCTCATACATGTTTGTGTGTTTTCGTTGGTGGTGGTGGAGAGATTCAGGCCATACATCCGTAGAAACATGATGGAGTTGCTCTGAAATGACCCGCCCTGCTATGTTATGGAGCTCTGTTCACCATGTGTGGTGAACGTGTGTGAAAAGAGAGAGCTGTTGTTGGTCGGAGCAGCGTGGTTCCTCTCACACAAACACACCCACCCATGCCGTTAACTCCCACCCTGACATTGGTTGTTTCTGACACCGTCACACAGCTGAGAATATAGCTCCAACCCGGGGCCCCCGTCCATTCACTGTGCTTCGATTCAGTGGAAAGTTTTTAGCATGGGAAATAGCCTGGCCTAATGCCACACAGGAAAATGCAACAAACACTTTTACAGTCTGGAATCCTTACATCCGCAGCACTAAAAGTGACCAAGGTCAGAATTTAATTACACAATGAAAAAGGTGCATTGAGGTTTTGTTATGGAGGAGGTTAAAGGCTCTAAGGCTACATTCTGACTGGTTGGATGGATGGATGGATGGATGGATAGATGGATGGATGGATGGATGGATGGTTGGATGGTTGGATGGATGGATGGATGGATGGATAGATGGATGGATGGATGGATGGATGGTTGG